GTTATTGATTGATTTCTTGATAGCAGCCATTCTTTGTGGGGTGAAGTGGAATCTCAGTGTGATTTTCATCTGCATCTCTCGAATGACCAGTGATGTGGAACATTTTTTCATATATTTACTTGCTGCTTTTACTTCTTTGTCTGAGAAATGTCTGTTCATTTTTTAATTGGGTCTTGATATTTGGGGGGCTGATTGTTTTGAGCTCTTTATATATTCTAGATAACAGTCCTTTGTCTGAGGAGCTGCTGGTAAATATTTTTTCCCACATTGTAGGTTGTCTCATAGTTCTTTTGATGGCAGTGCAGAAGATTTTTAACAGGATGAGATCCCAGTTGTTGAATCTTTCAGCTAGCTCCCGTGCTATTGAGGATTTGTTCATAAAGTCTTTTCCTATGCCAGTGTCTTCCAGAGTTCTGCCTAACTTGTCTTCCAGCAAGTTTAGTGTTTCTGTTTTAATATTTAGATCTTTAATCCACTTGGATTTATTCAGTAGAGTAGCTGGATACAAGGTGAACACCCAAAAATCAATAGCCTTCTTGTACACAAATAACAGACTCACTGAGAGAGAAATAAGGGAAAAAATTCCTTTTACAATAGCATCTTAAAATACTGAAGTATTTAGGAATCAATCTAACAAAAGAAGCAAAAAATCTCTACACTGAAAACTATAGCAATCTTAAGAAAGAAATTGAAGAGGAAATTAAAAAAGGGAAAGATATCCCCTGCTCCTGGGTAGGAAAAATCAACATAGTGAAAATGGCCATACTACCAAAACTGCTATACAAATTCAATGCAATGCCAACTGAAATTCTAACACTATATTTCACAGAACTAGAAAGAGGAATGCAAAAATTCATTTGAAACCAGAAGAGACCTAGAAGAGCAAAAGCCATCCTAGGCAACAGACACATGGCAGCGGGTATAACAATTCCCAATTTGAATCTTCTACAAAGCCACTGTGATAAAAACAGCATGGTACTGGCAGAGAAACGATCTGAGGATCAGTAGAACAGATTGGAAGACACAAAAACAACTCCAGATGTACTCAGCTACCTCGTCTTTGACAAAGGAGCTGACCATCCTCAGTGGAGGAAAGACAGCCTCTTCAATAAACGGTGTTGGAAAAACTGGATTTCAACCTGCCAAAGATTAAAACTGGACCCTTATCTTTCACCATGCACTAAATGATTTTTGTTTTTTATAAAATGGAGTACTACTCATCCATAAAGAATGAGCAACTACAGACATTTATAGACAAGTGGATGCGCATTGGTGTGATGCTCTTAAACGAAATTAATAACTTACACACGTGTAAATATCAGATATTTTCTCTGGTGTGAAAAACTGAAAGTGTAAATCAGGATCAAAATATATAACTGATATTGTGTAATAGGAAGAAAAGTCTAAAAAATTAGAGGAAGTGGAAGGGATAGGGGAAAGGCAAAAATGGAAAAAGAAAAAACATGTGAAAAGGAAAAACATGGAAGGGTGGAGGGGGTGAAGCAAAGACTGCGGAATGGGGAAAAGTAAGAACCAAGATATATCACGTAAAGATACAAGATCCCAAAGATGAATGCAATTGTGCTGTATACCTAAAATGTACCAGTAAATTTAAGTTTTAAAAAAGAGTAGCCAGAATAACAGATTAAACTTTATAAGCCAGTCTATGGTATTCGCTGACCAAAACCATAGAGCTTTCAAATGCATGCAGAATAACATCCAAATGATTAGCTACAAGGTCTTTTATCATTTAATATCTGCATTGTTTTGTGAATACTCTATATTTATTTTTTTAATACTGTTATCTCCTGACACACACACAAGTTCCAAAAAAGGAAGAAACACTTCTGTGTAGTGCTCTTTGGGTCCAGTTCCTAGAATAATGTGTTGTGTTTAGTGACCTCCAAATAAATGTTGCTAAAAAGAACAACTTGAGTTCCCCAAAGAAAAATACACTGAAAGTTTTCTTTTTTACATTTTTTTTTGCCACTCTGCATACTATGTTGTACTTATGTCCTTACATAAAGGTATATTTCTATCTCTGAGCTCAGCTCCCCAAAATAGGAAAATTAGTTCGAAAGTTATATATTTTTAAAATTTAAATAAATATTACTAAGAATGAAAGCTGTAGCCCTTCACATATCAGCAGCAAATATGAGTATCTTTTTCTTCCATTCATCACACCATTATACTTTTAAGAAGTTGGTTTTGATGGCTTGTCTCATTTGGGGGAATTATTTGATTCTATAATTTTTTGTAATCATTGTTATATTTTTATCATATAAAACTTCTTTTTGTATCAAACAGTATTTTTACCTATTTAGGTTTCCATCTATGATGGAGAAGTACTCTTCTATTTTATAGTTCCTATGTTTTCTTCTAGCATTGTATTTTTTTAATTTAAAATTTTAATCCACACAAATTTACTTTTAAATACAGAAGGAGATGAAAGGTCCAATGGCATTTTTCTTTTTACAGCTGCTTCCAGAATGCCACCATTATCCTACTCTCATTCTGCAACTCTCATTGATATGACACACTGTTCATCATGTCAGCTGTGTGCTTCCTTTTTAAACTATTACGGGAAATATTAATTTCTACTGATTTTCTTCTGTTAAGAAAGGGTCTCCCCATGTCACTTTTCAGAATGGACTCTTGCTTGTGTTTTCCTGCCTCAGACTCCCGGACTGCTGGAATTTCAGGCTCGTCCCACCAAGTCCAGCTGCCACTGATTTGTTTCCCTATTCCACATAAGTACTACTAGAATATTGAATTGACTCAACCAACTTTACAGTAAATTCTCTCAGTGTTCTTTGCCAGTTATGCTTGCCCATAAATTTGAAACTCATACAAGTAAAAATCTGTGTGTTCTAATTAAACTGCATTAAATTTATGCTGATTTGATTCAATTGACATACGAAGCCTTCACAGCTGATAAAAGTTTTCTTTTCCATTTAGTCAGATATTTTAACTTTCAAAAAGATTATCTCACATAAATCCTGTGACTCCTTTTCAGTGCTTTTCTTTATATTCTGGGAATATTTCCACTAGAAATTTAAATGTTTTCCATGTACTGCTGTTGTTTTGGAAAAAAAAGTAACAATTTGTGTTTATATTTCTTTCTTTTCATACATATTACCCAAAATTCTGATAAATCATAAAAGCTTTTGCACTTTTTTACTTAGTTTCGTGTGTTTTAAAGAAGGGTACTCCATCAGCAAATAGCGTTTTACTCCAGTATTTCCAGGGTTTATAACAAACACTGAATTTCTAAGAATTTAAGGCCTCAATAACAATGTTAATAATATATATGTTTGTCTTTACTTAAACTGTTTCTTATTTTAATAAGAATTTAATTTTATATAAAAATCTTCGTTTTACATTTTTAGAATTTCAATTATTAGAAAAATACAAAATGTTTTCGTTTATTAAAATATTTCAAACTCATTATTAAATAAAATCTGCTATTCTGACCTAATTTCTTACATATTCATGGAGTTAATTTTTAAAGAACACATATCGTAACTTGTTAGCATCCTTTTAGTTATTTAAAGAGGAGACACAGGTTGAGAAACTGCTACCAAGTTTTATCAAATACATTTTAATTATTGATATGAATTATCCCTTTCAATACATTAATATATGTTTCTGGATATTAAAATAAATTCCCATTTCTCAAGTAAATCCCACTTTACTATGCTGTGTTTGATACATTTCTAATCCACTTGCTAAGAGTATGTCTAGAATATTTCTAAATACACACTGATGAAAATAGTCTATAGTTCCATTTCTGCACTATCTTTACAGAAGTTAAAGCAAATTAGACTGGAAAATAATCCATCTTTTTCTATATTTGACTAGTTTAAAGGTCACTGTGATATTCTATTCTTCAAAAAAAAAACTAAAACTCAGTAGTAAATTCATTAGGTACTAATTCTTGATCAATAGTAACTAACAAATTCCCTAATTCGTTGTGGGAATTTGTCCATGAGTTGATATTCATTTTGTTATAAGACCATCTGAGTCCCTCATACCAATTTTCATTTTTGTTGCCACAAAACTCACAGTGTTCTCCTACAGGTCAGTATGATTCAGTCTCCTATTTCTGGCCTTAGGTGTTCGTTAGTTCACTGAGTCACAAGAACACTAGTTTGTCGAGGTCTAATAGGTGATATAAACAAAATGGCCAATACTTCTAGAGAATTAGCGTTTCCTGCTGACACACAAATGTACTCTTTAGACACTGTGATCTCCTGCATATTTTTAAACTCCACTCATTCATTGAAATTTCAAGATTCTAAAGAGATTAATGGGAATCTGGCTGTAAAATTCATATGGAAATGAAAAAGATATAGGATATCCAAAACACCTTTGTAAAAGGTCAAAGTTGGAGAGCTCTTACCACTGCTTCCAAGACCAGCAAGTTACACTTACAAAGATGATAGAAGATTAGAAATAAACCCAAACACATACTACATGCTTCTCAACAAATACTGCTGGAATGATTGCAAATTCATAACGACACAGTAAAAGTAAACCTTTATATACTCCTCACACTGCTCAAAAACTCATCTCTAAACTGGCCATAGGTATGTGTGAAACCTAAAATAATAAAACTTCTGAAAAACTGTGGAAGTCCGCTGGCATTTGACATTGGAAAAGTAACTTCTTCTACCATTGAGGCATTGACACAATCTATGACTCTATCTGGCTTTTCTGAGACAAGGGTCTCAGCTAGCAGATGAGATTGACCTGGAACTCACTGTGTAATCCAGACTGGTTTTATAGGATTACCGGCCTGCACCACCACGCCCAGCTCAAAGACTTTGTTAAATTTGACCTTGTGATGGGAGGAACTCAGCCAAAAATCGGATCTCCTCCCTAATAGTTGCTTGGTGCTTCCTGTTGGCCTGCCTTTAAAAGGAGCTCTTTCTGTGAAATAAACGGGACCTCTTGTCTCCACACTATTGAGTGCGCTGTCCTTTCTCAATCCTCACTCCCCAACTCAGGTACATTCGTGTTGTGACGGCTGGACTGCCACAAAAAACACAGAAAGAAGTCTTCATAACAGTGGTTAGGCAAATATTTCTTAAATATGACATAAACAACATGATCTATAAAAAATTGATTAACTTCACTGGAAGTTAAAAGCAACTACTCCTCAAAAGACACTGTTAAAATAAAGAAATATTAAAATACGCTTTGGGCAAAACATTTGAAAAACATGTATTTTATATAGAATGTTCATTCCGAATATGCAAAGCATTCTACAAATTCTAAGAAAATGAGTTCACACAAAATTAGACAAGGACCTCAATATAATTACTCCAACAGGTACATGGACAATATATATAGCACTTTTGAAGAATCTTAAAATTAGTCATTAGAAAAATGCAAATCACAAATATGCGATTTTGGGCTGGGGATTTTGCTCAGTGTTTCCACCGCCTGCCTTGCAAGTGCAAGGTCCTGAGTTCAATCCC